TTTATTTTAGAATATAAAATCTGATAAAAGACCTATACATTTATTTAATGATGTACGTAAGTCGTCTGAAAAGTTTTGAGCCAACATGGCATTACTCGTCAAAATCATCTTAGTTTTATATTGAAGCTTAAATCTTGTCAAACGACTCTCTTTTTCTCATACTTCATATAAATCATTTGCTTAATATTTAATGTGCCACGAATTAAAAAAGATTAAAAAACAGACCTATGAGAAAAAAAATTAATATACAAATATATACCATAAAGGTTTACTCTAGAAAAAAGATTCACTCTAAAAGTAATCCCTCTATTTTAAAAGTAATTGGTGGGAGGATTCTGTCTGTATTCTTGATGCATACATCATATCGGCCAATATCTAGTAATTCTTCATTGCTTTACCAATTAGAATTTTATATTGGGTATGGGAAAAAGTTCGTGGCGATTTTTTAGTAAAATTAAAGTGTTTTTCTTAGAGTATTGAAATCAATTTATTTAAACCAAATATGCTCCATTATTTTCTATAATATTTTGCCATTTTTGGGGCAGAGCCATAATTCCATCGCGATAGAACTTCTGTGATTTCCGAAAAACTGCTTCAAGTAATTTTCACAGGCCTCTTTTGAAGCTAGCTTTACACCATTAAGAGAGTTCTGCAGAGAACTAAACCTAAACAAATGATAGTCTGAGGGTGTTATGTCAGGACTATACGGTGGATGCATTAAAACTTCTCAGCCAAGCTCTCGCAATTTTTGCCGAGTCATCAAAGATGTGTGTGGTCGAGCGTTGTCGTGATGGAAGACGACACCTCTCCTATTGATTAATTCTGGCCGCTTCCTCTCAATTGCTTGTTGTAATCTCTGCAGTTATTCACAGTAGAATTCGAAATTAATTGTTTGATTAGACGATAACAGCTCATAGTGAACGATTCCCTTCCAATCCCATCACACAACATCACCTTCTTTCTCGTCAATCCAGATTTTGCGATTGCTTGCGCTTTTTCTTCTTTCTTTATCCACGATTTTTTTCTAGTTGGATTATCGTAGATGATCCATTTTTTATCACTAGTTATCATTCTCTTCAGAAATGGCTTAATTTCATTCCGTTTTAGTAGCGTATTACAAATGTTAATTCGGTCCATCATGTTCCTAACACTCAACTCGTGAGGAACCCAAACATCGAGCTTCTTTTTGTATCCAGCTTTGTGTAAATGATTTAAAACTGTTTTGTGGTCGATGCTTAGTTCCCTGGCAATCTCCACAGTACTCACACGCTTTTCACGCTCGACTTTTAGCTTGATTTCATCGGACTTTTCAGTGATTGGTCAATCGGAGCGAGGTTCATCTTTCACATCGAAATTTTCAACACGAAAGCGAGCGAGCCATTTCCGTGCTGCTGATTTTGATAGAGTATCTTCACCGCAAAATAAATAGTGCAAATTTTTTCACAAGCCTATGCAGCATTCTTGCCTTTATCGTAGTGCTACTGCAAAATCTAGCGAATTTTTTCTTTATTTATTTCCATTTTCAAAATAAAATAACTTTTGATTCACTTCACCGATTTCAATCTTTTTCGGCTCAAAACAAAGGTTAAACTTTTTAAACGCACTTTTTAAACGCACGTCACTTTTTAAACGCACGTCTAGTGTTGCCGATGCGATTAGTAATTGCCGATTGCTGAGCATTTAATGCCATCTAGCGGGAAAAACGCCACGAATTTTTTCCCATACTCAATATTAAATTGATTAATTGATTAATTAGCGATGTGCGCAATCGGATTTTTCTCTTTTAATATTGTGTAACATTAAATTACAAAAATCTGGAAATATAATATGAATATATTATAATATGAAACTTATAGCGATTGAATGTACTTAATACCCACTGATGCATGTTAAGACATCGTAATTCACTATTAAACTCCTAGTGAGATTCATTATTTTCGTAAATAGCTATGCAATGCTTTAAAAATAATTGATGGTTTCTAATTAGTCTTTACGCAAGTATAATACAGAATAAGTCATAATAATATTATAAGAACATCATTGTGATCTATATTTGTTATTTTTAAGTTCATTTTTAAATAAATCATTTTTAAAACATCATGATAACGTGATGATATCATTATGGCTTAATTATGATTCTGTGTTCTACTTTAGTATTTCATATTATTATTTATTTAATGTTATTGAATATTCAACGGCATTACGAACTGTTTGAGATAGTATAGTAGACTGCCATATAACGTATACTTATACAACGCGGTTTCCAATAATGTTAGTGGCAACCCATAATTACGCGGTAAATTATCTTTGTACTACATGGTTCTTTTTTAAATTGTGACTTAGTCAGTTGCAATGGCAATTATTTTGGATTTTTGCGATAAAATTATTTCTGAATGAAAGGAACAATATTGCTACATCTAAAATTTTAGCTATATAGACACAGATTCAAAAATAATTTTATTATATGTATTAAAATAATTATTTTATATATATGTGTGTGTGTGTGTATGTGTGTGTGTGTGTGTGTGTGTGTGTGTGTGTGTGTAGATTGCAAGCACAATAAATGAGCAATAATGCAAAAGTTTTGTCATTTTAGCAATCAGCTTGATCATTTTACATAATTATTTTGATAGTTCTATAAAATTATTTTTAGATTTCTATGTTTTTTACAAGTTCAAAAAAATGAGTATCATTTAATTTAGATTTTTATAATTCGGATTTTATTTCTTGTCCTAAATGTTATATTAAGGTTTATCTTCATACAACAAATTTTCCTTTTATCTCATAGAGTTTCCTGGGAACGTTCTCAGGATGATGAAATTCTTTAGAATGTCCTTTGAAGATCATTGTTTTTATTTAACACTGTTCATTCAAGTATAAGATTTTATATAACTTACTTTGACATAATCACTTTATTTTTCTATACGTGTCATCCACATATCTGTAATAACGTAATATTTTCCTCATTATGCTTTTAGTTTTACTGTATGATTTAAAAAGATACAGCGTATTGTTAAATTCAGTATATCCAATGTAGAAACATTGCCTATATCCGGTTCAGAGGTCAGAAGTTTATTGATTAAAATTCATGATTTGTTAATTAGACCTCTATCAATATGCTATTGTATCTATTAATTGCATTATCAAAATATCTATCTTGTTATATATAATTGTGTGTGTGTGTGTGTGTGTGTGTGTGTGTATATATATATATATATTCGTTCAATAATAATTTAATAGTAAATTACATTATAATAAATTTCAGATATAAAGTTAAAGGCTGTTTTTTTTCTAATTTGTCACTTGATCATCAAGAACTCAAAATTATTTAACAATCCACTAATATACAAAACAGTTTGAATATGAATTATAAACAGCTCGAATCATTTGAACTCTTCCTGGGAATAAATAAATGTTAATAATTCAATAATAAATTCAAGTAAAAGAGACATTCCCAATATCCGTTGTGATCTTACTTTTTTTCTTTTACATCGTTAAATTTTGCGATATCATTTCTTATGTCGTAGATATGTATTTTAATCTAACTGTTCAAAGTTGAATTAAATTTAAGTATTTTAATCTTCGTCAAATTTTTCTTTTTTTTCCCATTATTTCATTAAATATTATAATATGTAGGTTTAATTAGTTTGAGTTTTTATATATTTGTATATAAATTCTTGTTACACATGCCTTCTGTATTTAAATTCTCTTTTCTTTGTTCTACGTCCTGTTTCTTGCAAACAAAAAGAAAAAAGAAAACATCAGAGTGGTAATCTTTTTATATCGCCATTTTAAATATATTTCATTTATTTTATAATTCTCTTTGTAATTATCAAACTTGTTTGGAATTAAATTTTGTACAATGTTATTATTATTAAGTAATGTTATTATTATAAAAGAAAAAACAAATATAAAGTAATTATTCTTATTTGCGAATACTATTTTTTTCTTGAATTATCCTTAATTATTTAAATTGTTATTGATTGTTGTAAATAAATCATACAGTTTAAGAATATGTATTACACATGTTTACAAAATAATAAAAACATTTTTAAAAATTACATATTATTTTAAATTGTATTTAAAAGGAAAACAAAATAAAATATTTAGCGGCGGTTTAAAATTTGCAAAATCCAAAATTATTTTAAAATACTTTTAAAATAATATAAAGTTATATTGCAATGTACTAGGTTAATATAATTCTCTTATTGCAATAAAATTTTGTATAAATCATTTTGAGTACTCAAAACATTTATGTAAAATAATTAAAATTGTTGCCATTGAAATTTTGAATTTTATTGTTATAACAATAAAAAAATAATAATTAAACTATATAAACTATAAAAAAGAATTGTTCAATAAGAACAGAGCATTATAAAGATAACTTACATATACATACAGTTTATTTAAAATACAAATATTAGGTGTAGTAAAAAGAAATCCATTATTTTTCCAGTCAATTTCATGCAAAAATAATGGATTTCTTTTTATTACACCTAATACGTTATAAAAATTGTGCAACACATGCTTTATATCATTAATTTCAGTCACAACTCAGTTTTCATTTCAAAACAACTTGATTGTGTTTCTTCAAATCTGTACCTTTGTTAATATACGGAAATGATTTAGCAATAATCAAATTTTTTGTAATTTTTTATGCATACATGCATATTTATGTGCAATAAATTATTTTGTAGACATGTGCAATACACATTCTTAAACTGCATGATTTATTTACAACTATCAACGCAATAACAATTTAGATAATTAAAGACAATTCAAGGAAAAAATAGTATTCACCGTAAATAATACTTACTTTATATTTGTCTTTTTCTAAAATAAATGTAACTATCTTGATAACGCTATTTTGTTTACGGAATAATCACACGTTCCGCAACGTCACATAAAGGTGGGAAAGACTTGTGGCTTTCAAACAATTCTGACTGGATTGTTTCACAGTTCCCATTGGCGATTCGTGCTGACAGTACTGACCCAGCCTTCCAGAAGGCCTTTCCTCTTTCTCTGCCTTTCGCGATCCACTCAAACGCCATTTACGACGAGGAGAGAGACAAAGACTGGTGAAGACTAACTACTCAGCACGATTCTACGTTGGCACTTATGCTCATTTTCATAATATCTAACTAAATATTTCGGTGTAAATGAATCAAAGTCTCAGCAATGAAAGGCACATACTTCTAAAACACGTGAAAATAATTAATTTTAAAAACAAAAAGTTGTGTGTGACTCTGAAGATCAGGGTGCGATTGAATGTTCGATTTTCAAAATCTCTACGAAATCGTTAAGATAATTCTAGTGAGTACTCATATTTCTTTATATTCTTGCTTTCGTTATTGAGAAAAATGTTTTGATTGTATAAAATACGTTAAAATTTTGATAGAATTATGCATATCTGATTATTATGATTGAATTCAATATTTTATAGCAAAAATGTTTAATGAACTTAATTATAAGGATTTAGTTAATATTTTTAATTGGATTAGAATTAAAATTCGATTTACTAAAATGTTCTTATTAAAAAATTTTATGCTGATCTAAATTTAATATTATTGTGAAACAATTTTTGTATATTTAAAAACAAATTTATCATGTTTATTTGATAATTTTTAAAAGAATTTTGATTTATTTATTTTCCTGTAGACATATTGATTAAATCTATTAGACTTCTAATTTATGTAACTAGATTTTTTTCTAGTGTTGTAGTTTTTATTATGTGCTTGTACTAAACGATAAATAAAAAAAAACATATGTGTTTTTCATAAGAAAATTAAAATTTGTTTTTCCTCATTTGCTATTTTTATATTTTTCTATATTCGTTTTTCTTATCTAGCTTTTTCTTATCTAGCTTCTCTCGCTTTAATAAATGCTTGTGAGTAAGATTTTGCTTTTTAAAAACTATAAAAAATTCAGTTGAAGGTTATTACTAAAATATTATAACTGAAGTATTATTTGTTATAAGAAATATGTATAAGTACATTATGCACATTTAACTTTTCGATAATGCTAAACATTTCTCTAATAATAAGTAGATCTTTTTTTCAATGTAATTAATATTAATATTAATTGTTATATTTTGTAACATTAATTGTGATATTAAAAAGCTATAATAGTAATAAAAATAATTACAATAACTTAGAGAATTGCTTATATATAAAATGTTTATATATGTATGCTTATATAACATAATAAACTAGTACTATGGTAGCAACAAAACGCTAACAAAAAATAATCATGAATTTCAAAATTTATTCTTAAGATAATGATATTTATTTAATATTTTTTATGTATCATCATTGTACTTTGTCGCATTGCGTTTCAAACTCATTAAAGTATGCTGAATGAAACAAAAAACTTTATTAACTTATTCATATAGTCAAATATATGCGTGCGCGCGCGCGCGCGCGCGCGTGTGTGTGTGTGTGTGTGTAAAACTTCTATTGATGTGTCATACATTCTGTATAATAATAATAACAATAACATCAACAGCAATAACAATAATTTTTATTATATTATATACTTAGAAATAATTATATATAAAATGTTTTACTTTTTTATTTTTAAGATGTTTTTTTAATAACCTTTTTTAAGCAATAATTTTTTTCTATTTAACCTTCTTTTCTACTTTTATAGAAATTTAATACTAGTACTGGCTAATTAATCACTTACTTTGAACATTAAAAATATTGTTAATAATATTTTTAATATTGTAAACGAGTAAATTATTGGCCAGTGTTAGTATTAAATTTCTATGAGAATTAATTTTATTCTCTTCTTTTCTATTTAACAAATCCTATCTTCTTTTCCAGGCAAATTTAAATTTATATGGATAATTCTGCGTATTATACATATAATAATTTTGCATATATAATAATAATATATTTTGGATAGTTTTTAGAAAATAATAATATATCTACATTTTTAACAGTATATGTAATGAAAAAAGATATCATACATATGTTGATCGATAAATTGAGTAGAATGATATGTAAACGAATGGACTAATTTTGTTAACATATATATATAATTGGTTTTCCTTTCATATAACATATTTCTACGCAAATTATATCCACATTTACATTTAATATGTTTGTTATAAGGAGGAATTTGTTCTCTGGAAAAAGTTTTACTCTTCTAGGAGAACAAGTTTTATTTTTCAAGAAGAAAAATTTTCTTATAAAATATTTGCAACGCGTACGTTGATCAAATACATAATGTATGTATGCCGTTGAATAAGCCAGATCACAGTGGGAAATAAGTTTCAAAATTTAAAAATTAATGTCTAGTCTGCTAATAAAAAAACAAAATAATAAACAAAGATGTTTCTTTAGAAATGCTTGTATATTATGTCAAAATAATTGCATTAGCGAGTGTGCGTAATTTTCTGAATTATTCAGAAAAATTTCAGTGTCAAAACAAACTGTAAATTTATTTCGCGGCAAAGGTAAGAACATTAGGCAAAATGAGTTCGACATTCTCGCATAACAAATTGTCAAAGTTAAATTACTGAAATGGATAGACAATGATAACAAGCTACAGGCTGTGTAATAGCCATGGGATGACTGTTATCTTTCCCAAGTAAGTTCGGAAGTGCTCTTGATAGAAGAATAAAGCCTAATTGGAGTGTTCATATAATTTCAATTAATAATATGCGATTCACTTTTGGAATTCTGATATGTAGTATTGTTAGAAGAGTTAAATTATATATATGTAATATTCGGAAAATTATTGTTTCTAAAAATAAAATTGAATTTTCTATTATAAACAATTTTCTATTATAAACAAATATTATATTATAAAAAAATATTAT